GGGCGTGACATCTGCCTTTTTGCCATGACCTTTCAAAGACTGTAGAGAGTCCTCGCAGTATCGTCAGTCAGCTCCTTCGCCACCCATGGATTCACCCCATCTCATGTATGCCCAAGTGGGTTAAGTGATGCTTAACTCTTTCTTCCTCTAAGGTGGGTGCTGCTTCATTCCACAGACTCTGCTAGGAGGCTTAGGGACTTGGGAGGCCAGAGGACAAGCCTTACCGGTAAAAACTGAGGCAAAGAAGGTACTAAATAGCTCAGCCTTGTACCTGTCAGCTGTGACTAGGGACCTTGCCCCACTGAACAACAGCCCAATTTTGCTACTAATGTACTTTTAGAAATGTTTTTTTTTTCCCTTTACCTCCTTTGCTAGTTTCAACTCCAGCAGAACTTTAGATTTCCTGACTCCATTCTTACAAGTGCAGGCAGTATCCTCATGTTATTTCCATGGAGCATGTCCCTGCTTCCACCTTCTGTTTATTTCCTGTTTGTATTTGAGCTTAGATGGGAGCTCCATATTCATCCGTGCAAGCCTTCAGCCACATTTACCTGACCTTCTGCACAGTGGCATGGACATTGTTGTGCTCTGAGGAGGCTGTCTTTTAAGATTAGCCAGCTTTCTTGCACCCCTTTGCCCTCTGGGGCTGTTTCTCATGAAATCCTGCCAAGCAGGTCCCTGAAGAGGCTAAAATTTGTTCTTCTGAAGTCCAGGGTTGTAATTCTGCTATTTATCTTAGTTGCTCCTGTTGGGATCTTTAACTCTGCAGTCTCATTGTCACCACAGCCAAGGCTGCCCTTGACCTTTACATCATCCAACAGTTTTCCTTGTTTCTGAGTTGCATCTTCTCGAGTCAGTTCATCAGTCACCTGCATCAAGAAATTGTCTTCAGTACCACTTCAAGAAATCTCCTGGATTGCTTATGCCTAGCCATATTGCCCTTCTAGCAGAGTCCAGGGTATCTATGAGTACCTGGGCCTGTGACTGTGAGGCTTCCTCTAGCTGCCTAAAAAAGGCTTCATTTGCCGCCTCCTCTTGATCTGTAGCAGACACTTACTACAACATCACCTATTCTGGTCTGTACTGCAGTCCTCACCCACAGGCTTTCGGCTGCTTCATCAGTTGCCATAAGGCAAAGCTCCATGCGTTTGAGCCACTCCTCTGCATGAAGTGCAATCCCTTGTCCATGGCTGCCTGCCTTACCTTTTCTGAAGAGCCTATATCCCACCATTGCAGCATTCCAGTCATGACGTAGGCTGTTACAAGAAATCTTTTCTGTCTTTCCTGAAAATAAAATTTCCAAATAAAAAATTAATTGTTCATATAATTCATGAGAGTCCTTCCCACAGGCAGCTATGCCTTCTCTTTGAATGTTGTAAGTTATTTCTAATTAAAACAATAGTAAATGAGGTAAAAGACGTGTCCATAAGAGGAAAAAATATAGCTGTATCAGGTTTATAGTTTTATCTAAGGTGTAGCATAATAAAAAGAAAACAGCAGTAGAAAGAGCAAAAGCATTTGTTACAATCTGCTCTGTGCCTGATCCTGTGCAAACTGTAGAGTATGCATTAGACAGAAATATCCGGAGATAGAAGCTTCATCATCCAAAAGGCTGAGGAGCGTATTTTGAATGTTGATTATTTCTGCCTGCTTTTAAAAAACAGGACTTAAAGCCTTCTAGCTTTCAAGAGATTTTTTAAATTTGAAGCTTTCAGTTGTGAAGCTTAGCCCATTGAAGCTTGGATTGGAACTGAGGAAATACAGTAGATACAGGCAAGAGTTAATGAAGATTGGTAGTTGACTAGGTTGCAGAGCTGCCCGTGTATATGCTTACAGCTGCAGCTAGGTCTCAGACCTTTTGACGTTCTGACAGTAATGTGAATTGTTGTAAACAGAAGAAAGTGGAGAGCTGTGTATACGCGGGGGTACAAGCTACAACTGAAAAGATTTTGTAGGCCAGACAGCTTTCCTGCTTCTTAGGAAAGCAAGTGTTAGATTTTCGGATGGAAAGATAAAATGCAGGTTTTTGGTTTTTTCTGAAAGGCTTGAGTGATAAGTGCTCTGCTTTTGGGCAAATAACAATCTAGGAAGTCAGCTCCAGAGGTCAAATGAAAAAGCTGTGTATAAGTGCAGTAGACGGATTATACGCAAAGCTTATGTTCTATAAAAATGGATTATATGTTGTTACAAGTAATGTGAGAATCTTGATAGGAAAAACCACAAGGGTGGTTTTTGTTAATAGCTACTGTGTGAAGAAATGTAACCATTTGTGTGCTTCAAGCAGCACATTTTTATTGGTTTGACAAAACCCTGGAGCTCACTAAATATTCTTGAGTGCTTTCTCTCATTAGCTCTTTCCATATATATGGACACAGAGGACTGTTGCAACATTTTTACTGCTGAGCTGCTTGCTTTAGAAAGCTTTCTGGTTAGCAGCATGAAGATATTTCCCATAGGAAGCCAAACTGGACCCAAACCCTTGGAATAATGAGGTGTGTTGCTTTGCAAGGTAGCATCACTTGTGGCCATAGGAAGTTAAAAGGATGTCGGGGAGAATAAAGCGTGACTTTTGTCTGCAGTGCTCTGTGTGCTCAGTACAATTATACATAGAAAGCTGAAGGTAGACACCACCAGCTTTTGCTTGTTTGATCTTTTTTGAAATTTAATAAAAGATCTAGTTCTGGCTTCAGGTACCAGAGTTAGATTATAGTTTCACAAGTCTTAAGTAAACTGATGTATATCCCCCCCCCCCTTTTTTTTTTAATCCTCATATGTTCAGATTTCACTTCTGCATAGTGAGCTTTCTAGATGACCAGATGCTTTATGTCAGCAAAGCACCAAAGAACTGACATAACTTTGACCTATCCTCACATACCCACTTAACTGCATGTGCTGAACAATGCAAAAAACTGAGAAGATAAAAAGGAATCAGGACCGTAGGAAAGAGATGCCTCTGCAACTTTGCTGTCCTTCAGCCATGCTGAGCTCCTAAATGGAGTCAAGAAAGAGAGCTGGTTAGATGTCAGCATCTCAGGAGAATGGTGAGAAGCAAGTGGGTCCATGGGAAGAGCAAAACCACGTGCAGGAACAATTTAGGGTGAATGAAATGAGGGAAAGGATTAGTGCTCAGTGGAGAGTTCAGGAAAGCAAACCAATACAGGGTAAGGATTGGAGGAAATCCTCTAAAGCAGTGCCTGCCCTTTCTTAGGGAAATTGTTCTGTTTGTAAAAAGGAAGAATTTTTACATGCAAGTTTTGTGTATTTTTTAATTATTTTCTAAAATTTATACATACTGGTGGATTTTTCAATGCAGAATTTTAAAAGATTAAAAACATTTACAATTATGAGGTCATCTTTTTCACATCACTATTCATTAATTGATATTGCCTGAAATTGTTGGTTTCTTTTACTGCATTTTGTATGTATATGTGTGTGTATGTGTGTGTATATATATAAAAAAAAAATATGTGTGTGTGTGTATTTATATAAAATATGTATATAACTGGTTTGTGGCTATTTTTCTTTTCACCTTTTCCTGGCAATTTGTTAGTAAGAGCTCTGTTCAGGATAGGACTACAGTGACTCCAAATTTGACTTTGTAAATAGCTTATTAATGGGGCAATATTAATAGTATGTAATTTATCCCATTATAACTGATGTTCAAAATTGAAACATTCATGGTTATGTATTTGCAGTTTTAGTTTGTGTTAAAACAGATGAAAATTTTACCTGTTATGGAAAACAGAAATACAATTTATGACCTTCCAAGATACTCAAAGTCATTGCTGTATAAATGATTCAGTGAAATTTGAGCCAAGCAAATAGAACCATTCACTTACTGTGTTATGCATTGTATCTAAGTTCATATTGTTCCACTGATTTTTTTTTTTTTAACAAGATGGGTGAGTTGTTAATATTTCTTTAAATTTGTTTCAGTTGCATAAAATTGATCAAGCAAATAATTGTATGTTCTGTGATTCTTCAAGTGATACTAAGGCATATTTCTGCTTGTGCAAAAATTGAAATATCACAGTTGTGCTAAAATAAAACGACTGAACAACTAAAGTACTTCTCCTATGTTACGTGTGTGGAAGAGCACACTGCTTTTTAATTCCTTATAAGCAAATATATGTACTGATCTGCTGCTCAGTTTAAACACTGGCAAATAAAGAATTATGAATATGTGTTTGAGATGAGGCCCAGGCTACTAACTTCTTGGCATCTTTGCGTGAAGAAGTTCTTGTGTGTGTGTTGAATATTCTCTTTTAAAAATATAGCATGAGGAAGGAAGGGGGGGAAGAAACACCTTTAGGTATACTCCTCTGTCATATGATGGAATTGCAACCGTGTATTTGCATAGCTTTTCCATTTAAATAGGAGTTGCATCTGCCGTTGCCAGGTATGGCACAAAGTACAGGAGATAATACTAGATTAATAAAACAGACAAGCTAAGTGTAGTCAGAACAGAAATGGTCATGCCCCTGCATTCATCCTAGCAAGCATAAATATCATTTTGGAACAGTTGACGTATTCGATTAAGATGCCACTTTAATTATTAAGCTGCTGAATGTCTTCCTCCCTCTCTATACTTTGTGGTCATTTCTGCAAAGATGTTCAGACTCATTTTTTGTTTAATGTATTCATTCTTGCAGCAAAAATTATTTATTTGAATGTCTAACTTTGACAAAGCAACTGTTGACTTATGTGGTACCAAAGATTTCCTCAAAATGATACTTTTTAGCTGCTAGATATTTTTTAAGTACCTTTACCAGAGTACTGCAAAAAACTCAGGCATTGATCCTAGTTGCCTGATTGATATAATTTGGCCTAAACCTTTATGTCCAGTTTTAGAAATTCTGAAAGTTAATCATCTTTTAAAGAAGAAAAGTTACATAAATTTTCAGATTCATAGCTGTTTGTAAAAGACGAATGTAAAAGAATACCCTGTATCTCTGCTAGCATTAGCAGAGTAAGAAAGCACTCTGGAGGAAGAAGAAAAAATGTCTTTGTACCCTTATTTGATTTCTCTTAAAATTGCATTTACTGGTATCAGTTATGCCCGCTATTATGGTGATTCTTACCTGGAATTTCAAGGCTTGCATTTGAACATACAAAATGTCATCCGCTTGGAATTTAAGACCTATAAACCTCACGGACTCCTTCTGTATATTGAGCAGAGCCCAGAAACAGTAGGGCGTTTTTTAATTCAGCTCTTCATCAAAAGTGGCACCTTACAGGTAAGGCATCGAAGTATTCTAATGATGTGGAGGAGGAGAAAGTAAAGTTTGGGCCTTTATAACAGTTTCAATAATTTTTTCTGCTTCCTACTACAGAAGACAGTATGTTGTATTGAAGGTCTTGATATTCTTTAACATTGTAAGCAAAACAGTGGTCAAATTTGCCATCTGTTAGGGCAAAACCATATATCATAGAATTAATATATCTCACAAGAGGTGGTGCGTGAGAAGAATTGAATCATAGAATTGGAATGTCCACATGTAATGTGTACATACAAAATGTACACATTAAAAGACAAAAATAAGGAATATTTTTAGATTTTTCTTTACAGTTGGTAGGAATTAAGGCATTTTATTTTACTTGCAAAGCCTGAACCTACTGAACCTTCTCCTGTGCAACATTGTTAAAATTATAGTAAGGGAATTGGCTCTGGAACTGAGTGAATTTTGTCATACAAAAAATTTATTATATGAAGGATAAGAGTGTATATTGTTATTGTGTGGTACTAAGTAGAAGCCTTTTACTTAATCTAGTATATTCATTCTTAGTTCCACAGGAACACAAAACCCACTTGTTTGGCTTTTCTGGACACACTAAATAGGAATACATTTGTTTACAAACAAAAAGGAGTGGCGTGTATATTGCAATATACATTTATCTCTGGCAAATTATTCTTTCCTTCCTGAGGAACAGATAGAGCTTGAAATAGTGAGGAAACTGATAGATACTAAAGAGGATACAAAAAGATATTTGAAAGACAAGCCACTTTTCCTATAGTGCATCTTCTTTTTTCTGTTAGAAGTTCCCAAAAGTTTGGCTCTAATATTCTGCAAGGATTGTGGAAAGACTATTAGGAAGTGTTTTTTTTCAGTTACGTTGGCCTTCATCTTGTAAAGAACATGATCGTACATGAAAGATATATACATTGTAGATAAATGGAAAAAGAAAAATTAGCCTGCATTTTGTTATACAGTGATTTCTGTGTTTTGTTATATTATGATTATCCAGAACAAATGAGATTAGTCGGGGGCAGAAAGTTATCCAAGGTTTAGAAAATGTTGATGGCTTTCAGTCCATCTTACTTGTATTCATGGTAAAGTAATGATGCAGAAAAACATTTTTCTAACGTATCATAAGCATCATAAAATGTGAAAGTATTTTAATTGACAAAAATCTATTCAGATATCCCAGTGTGCCATGTTAAAACTAATTGAATTCACTTATACATTCGCAAAACTGGTCAATTAAATGTAGATTTAAAGCCCAATGAACAAATGGTTCTAAGCTCACAATCAAGCTACGATTACAAGTAGACAAACCATGAAATCAAGTGCTTGTTCACATTAGTGTAGGAAATTAAATGGTGTTCCTAAATGCTCAAGCTTGCATGCTACATTACGTGTTTGGAAGTTTAAGGAGGCCGTAAAATGGTAAGTAAAATTCACCTGTGGCCAATGTTAATTTCAGCTGGGTTGCAGATGGTCAACTTCTTTGCAAATCAGGCCCGTAGTGTCTGACTGTATACACATATACAAAGATGAGAGCATTTTCACACAGGCTAGGAAACATATATGTATGTTTCTATATTTCTGGTACAATGGACTTTCTGATCCAGATCTCTAATGTAACATTTTCCTAGATATGCATAGTATGTTCCAGATGTATGAGATCATTTACTATTTCTAAATTGAAGTTTCCAAGTGTGTAACAGTTTAATTATTACAAATTATGTAATAAAAGCATTTTTCCCACTCTGTAGTACCGGTTTTTATGTGATGAAGCAGCAAAACTCAGAAACATCAATACTACTGCCAGAGTAGATGATGGACGCTGGTATAAAGTGCAAATCTGGTAAGTTTTATATTTTAGTATTGTCTGTATTTATAATTGCCTGGAAGATCATCTAGGTTGGACAGTTGATAAATTCCAGTGATATTACATCTCATTAGCTATGAGTGATAACTAACTGTGTGCAGAGAAATCATATTAGGGCAATTTGGGCTATGACATCTTTTGAAAGAGTGTTTGAAAATGCAGTATTGTTAGACAGTGCTCCCGACTTCAGAGATGTGCTTAAAGGAAATAATTTATTTTCATTTAAATTATCTATCCACAGCAAACATAAACATTTGCGCAGGGAAGCTACTGTGCATTAGTTCCAAGCTACTTAGTCCAGGAAAAAGTTAAATTAGTACCATTGCTCCAGTCTTTTCTTGTTGTTACTCACTTGCAACTCCTGTAAAAAAACCAGTAATTGCAACTGAAGTAGGATAAAATGAAAGGAAAATGAGGTACGCAGTAGGTTTCCCATACTCTTTGTTTCCAAATGATGTTTATTTCCTTTCATGGCAGTGTAATACGAAAGGAGAATATATGTTTCAGAATTAGACATAAAGACTCATCGTTATAAGACACCATATGAAGGCTGACCATAGCTATTACATTTGGATGTCTTATAGGAAATCAGAGGGGGAAAGCACCTGGGTTTGTCTGGAAATAGATGGCAGAAAGCCCTGGTGCAGCAGGCCTTGTAATCAGACTTGTTGGTGATTACTTTGCATTGTGAAGCTAAAAAATATTTCTTAATGATCTACCAAAACTCAGAACTCTTAGTTTTGAGTACAAGACACCTGTGCCACCGAAAGTCAGTGTCCTGAGTTGCAGAGTGTTACGGATAAAGAGCAAAGACAGGTGAGAAGAAGAGATGGTATCCCACAAAGAAAAATGAGTCAGGTTTTGATTCAGCTGGGATTTCTAGAACAGAGCTGTCTAAACACAGTCCAGACGTGAGTTGTATATTACCAGGGTGTGCTAGTCTTGTCAATAAATTAAATTAGGGAGCTGAATCACTAATAAAAGGTGAAGATACTTTTCAAATACTTGTGAAGAAAAAAATCTTTATGAAGAGGCAACGATGACCTACATGTATGTAGTTTTACCAAGCAAATATACATATCTAATGACTAAGTATCAATGCTATTAGAATCTGTGACAAAAATTTCCACAGACAACTCCCAGAACTGTCATGAGATAAAACATTAAACAGAATGTTACATTTTATGTCAGGTTTTAGTATGTCAGTGGGGCAGTGCTAGCCACAGGAAATCCTGTTAAAGATTGTTTGTTTGTTTTTTCCTATTTGATCCTACATTTTATTATTGCTATGGAAACACAGTACAATGTAGTTGCTCTTAATTTGAGAGTATGCTCCTGCTGTGAATGGATTTGTTTCTCTTTTATAACAAGTTGTATTCCTGAAATGTCTTATTTTATTATTTATATTCCAGATGTATATTTCAAAATGTCTTTGGATATTTTATTTTTAGGAGTAACGATTTATTCCTTTTGTTATTTGCTAAGCCTAAGACCTAAATCACAGTTGAAGGGCTAGTGATTATTACGAAGCAAAATGAATTGAAGGTGTTGCAAGGGTCTTAAGCAGTCTCTAAGTAATATTTAAGAGTTAAATTCCCAGTCTGGATGCTGTCCTAGAAGCAAACACTTGAAGTTTTGGTCAGGATATAGAATGCTTTGTGCATTCTTTCCCTCTGCAGTGCTGTTTCCTTACAGTCTCATTTTCAGTGCTGCGAACCATTATAAAAGGACATAAAGATTTGATCAGTCATATCTGTTTTGGGGTACATCTGAACTAGGGTTGATCACTAAGGATTGTCTTACTCCAAGTTAGCAAGCATCAATTTAGGGACTGCTTGCACAACACTCTTATATTATTCTCTAATGTTAATGTGCATCACACCTGGTCTCTCGTCATCAGTGGAACTTCTAAAGTATCACAGAGACCACACTGTCTGTTCATTTATCTGGGTGGTCACCCTAGAATAACATCAGGGCACCTTCAAGGAGTTCCCTGGTCTCACTCTTGCAGTCAGAGGACTGTATATAGGCATGACGGTACTTGAAGGCAGCACAGCTAAGTGCGTGGAACCTGACAACAGCGTGCACTGAAACAACCTTTTATATGACCCCTACTATTGCCTCCCCAACCCTATTCACCTCCCATGGTAACTAGGAAAAGTCAGGATAGCCAGCAATGCCTCAACTATAGCAAAAAAACCAAAGACGGGCAGTCTGATAAAAACTAAAAGTGATGATACTTACTTGAATACAAAACATTTCCCCTGCTTCACAGGCAGAGACGTGCTGCTGAACCTGTCTTCCCCTCCATCTGCCTCTGTTCTCCTCCCTTGAACCTCAGATTGCAATAGTGGCCCAGCACAGGTGCTAACAAAAAATTTTCACACAAAAGTTCTTGCACGTTGATAAATAAGCTGATCATAGTTTGAATGTTAGAGGACCTGGCCAGGTGGGCACCAATATATTGTGAGGCACAAAGGACATCCTGTGCATATGGATCACAGAAAACCGAGGTGTTGCAGGGTGGCAGGTTTTGCAGACAGCCTAACACTATGTAGAAGTAGTTACTGAAAGCTACTGGAACATAGGAACCTGCATCTGTGGTAATTCTGAACATGAGCATGTGAATAATATATTCTTGTTATTCTTTGCAATAGAAAACTGTGAAGGGAAAGGAAGGTAAACATTCTGCATTAATTCCCTTGAAACTTGCTTTTCTCCTAAAATTGAAAAGAATTGCAAGCTCTTCTCATAAATGCTGTGGGTTTTTTCCAAAATACACATCGAAGATGTCTACCCACTCGCTCTGTGCTATCCCTTCACATCTCTTAGTATGCTTTGAGATCTCCCTTTCTCTCCTTCACACTCACTAGATTTGTTTCTTTTTTTTGTTTGTTTGTTTTTGTTTTTTACTATTTCTTTCTTTGGAGTATCCTATCATGCACATCTTCCCAAACCCAATCATTTTCCTTTTTTCCCTTTGGTGATCATAGGAGTCACCTAGGAATTGTGTTATAGAGTTTAATTAAGTGATAGGGAAAATGGTTCTTCGACACAGTTGAGTCCCCTTTTTTGTATAAGAGGAGATAAGCCTCTCATAAAGGAACACATTTTTTTCCAGAGCATTGTGTAATTGGGACATACAATTTTTAGTTATTTAGCTAGTTTAATCCATCAGGATACTACTGTTATTCCTTTGTTGTTCATTTTAAGAAAGAATTAAGATCCTGAAGTTAGCAAAAGTTGGAATGCCTGAACCCTCCATGCTGTAAGAGACTTTGAGAAAAGCATCTTTCACCTGGAGCTGGTGTATTAAAACTGCCATATCATTGCCATTACTCAGGACTACATTATCTATCATTATCTGAGTGCACCTATTTTATGGATTTTTCCCCCACAACTCCATCCAGCAGAAAATAACTTGAATCTTCAGATCAGTGTGTATCAATAGCTGGAGAGCAGAACAGTCCCATTTCTATTGCCAGTGTTCCTTGTGAGCCTAAAAAGAAATGAAGAAAGGAAGGAAGGAAAGGAAGGAAGGAAAGTGAGAAGAGAGGGAAGGAGGAAGGGAGGCAAGAGGCATCCTCTTTCATTTACGGAGAATGGTGATTATTTCAGGACAGCTCAGGTCCTGAAATGAATCAGGTCCTGATTTCCACTGTTGAAACAGAAGGAATGCAGAATGTTAATAAGATTCAGAATATGTAATGAGCAGTTTTCAATTAATCACTCCACTGCCTTTAACAGATTGAAAATGGGTTTGGAAGTTGTTTTAGGATTTAAAATCTGTATGGTACAGATGTCAAAAGGATTTGGTTCTAAGTTGCTTCTTATTTTCATCTAGTGCATCTTCACATGTGCTTGAATTAATTATGCAAATGTATATTCTAGAGTGGTAAGTGTAATACCCTACTTTTTTCTTTATTAGCAGTTTAATGTATATGATTGACAAATAGCTAATTTGATAAGGTCATTCTGGAAACATGGAAACATGTGTGTTAAATGTTTTCTGAAGCTAACATTTAATTTCATCAACTGTGATGTAATATGCCATAGTAAAATCTTACAATGACTTGGCTGAAAGCTTTTAATGGCTTATTCAGCAGTTGTCTAGAGCTTTGGAAACATTATTTAAACCTCACAGAAAAGACTTTCACTGAGATAAGGAAGTTGAATTTCAAACAATGATATCTGGGAAGTTGGCAAAGTCAGAATGAGAATGGAGGAGTTGCTAAATATTATAACAGTATATATGAGCAGTGTGGATTTTTCTTTGTTCTGCAGATGTTAAGAATTATGAACAGACATCAGAGGTAATAAAAAAAAACTATAGCGTTGTACTAGTTTCCTGAAAGAAACTATTCATTCTCATCACTTAAGTTATTCCTTATTGTTTCAAGCACTGCTCTATGTGGCCCTGTGATGGAAAGATTTTTGTCTGCCAAATTCACTAAAACCAATGCATTTCAATTACTGAAGATGAGCCATCTGCAAAAAATATACTACCTCTATAATCTCATGTTACTTGGAAGAAATAGAATTAAAAGTAATGTTGTGTAATACACTTTGAAGTACGATGAAAATTAGACCATGAGAATCTCTTCCTTTTCAACTTACAGGGGAACATTTTACTGCTTCCTTTATCCCATATAAATCATTTTTGTTGTGAATAAAAGAAATGTCATACCTTTTAATGTTTGCAAATAAACATTTACATATTACTGTCAGAGAATACACTATAGTCTCAGAGTTCATCAGAATATTCATGCTGCAAATAGAATAGCAGCATTACTGTAAATCTCTTTTTCACGATGATGGAATATTGCGGCTACAATAACTTTACCAGTTTAATAAAACTGGATACAATAAGAGGACTGAGTTTTCATCACAGATCTTGGATAGCTTGATAATTTTGGATAGGATATAACATTTTTCCTCAGAGTAGTCTTTACTTGCTGCGTAATAGTTACAGCGGT